CCCGCAGGCCCCATTCCAAACCCATCACATTAAGGGTTATCGCTTCCCCATAGGACGTGGGGGCGGGGGACACAATTCAGTCCATGGCAATCCCCTCAGAGTTTGTGCCTCAGCTGCAAAGGAGACCAACCCTCAGGGTGAGAAGCGTTGGGTAAGTGGGACGAGGACTGCAGGGGACTGTCGAGCGGGTGTTACAGGAACCACGGGCCCACCTGCCCACCCTCCTGGCCCTCGCTGGCGGGCGGTGCAATGGCTCAGAGCTCAGGAGCTGGAGTTCAGGGCTTAGATCCACTACTGTGACACCTTGGACAAGTGTCTTGCCCTCTCTGGGCGTAAGTTTCTCTCTCAGTAAAATGAAGACTGTGGGAAACAGTGCCGCACTCACCAGCATACCACTTCCCTTTCTTATGCAAGCAGCCTCTTGGTTTTCTTTTGGCCATTTATGCCCTTGCTGCTTTACGCCCCCCATCACCGCCCGGCCCCAGCTGTAGAATCGGGCGTGCAACCTGGGCCTGGTCTAGCAGAGGTGGGGTGCCCGGCTCGTTCATAGGCATACGATCTGACCTGGACCAACAAGAGTTTCCCCCAGGATTTCTGACCGAAACTCGTGAAAAGGCTCTCTCTTTTCCCTGAGGATGTTATGCTGGGAGAGATGATGTCTAGGTTGCTGGCAGCCTTCTTTGCCACCTGAGGGGAGGAGACTGTCTGAGAATGAAGCCAACACAGAAGAAGTCAGAGCCCCGAGGAGGAGAATGATAATGTCTAAAATTCAACCTCACGGGCTCTTGATTCAGCCATGCCTGAAGCCCATAGCATCATTAAACTTTCCAGTTAAATAAGCTAATAAACTATTTTTGACTGAAACCCGTTTGCGTTATGTTTCTGTCTGTTGCAATGAGCAGCATGTGACTAATTCGCGTGCGTGGATAGAACCCCGTCCGTGTTTCTCGCTGTGCCCATCTCATCTGACCCTCTCAGGTTTGGGAGGATCAGCACCACACTCCCGTGCATGTTGAAGAGAATTACAGAGTGTCCAAATCTTCACAGATGATTAATCAAGAACTGGGACCTCTCTCGACCCCCATGACCACCCAAGGGGCAGCGAGCAGCTGTCGCTATCTTCCGTCGTGGACCCTGTCCCAGCCGCCCAGCACCCTTTTCTGTCTTCCTCCTCCCGCTGGTTCAGGCTCCCAGCCCCCTCGCCACCAAGCCCTTGCCTCTGGGGAAGCTGAGTCCACTCCCCCGTCAGGGTGGTCCCGCCCCTGCTCAGCTCCTGAGTCAGCTATGGGCCTGTGCCCCACTCTGGGCAGTGGGCGCGAGGAGACCACTGGGTGGGGCTTCTGGAGAAGCTCCCGAGACCCCCCAGAAAAGTGCCTGGGAGCTCGTCCTGGTGGAGCCCTGCCACCGCCTGGCTTTGCCCTGAGGATGGAGAGCATCTGCGTCCGGACTCGAAACACAAATCGCCCTCCTTGGGACCCACTCCCCCTCAGGGCTCCAATTTCACATCAAGATTTCTGTTACTTACAGTCAAAACCATCTTGAGTAACACGCTCCCATTTTAGAGAAGAAAGAAATAATCTTGAGAGGGATGCGGCTTTCTCTGATATGTTGTCAAGTTTATTTTGGGTGCAGGGGACAGAAACCTACCTCAGGCAGCTCAAGAAAAGAACAAGGGACTACGGACTCCAGCAAGGTCACAGAGCAGGCGGAGACGAGTGCCCCTCACCTGTGGGCGGACGGACCGTGGCACAGCCCTGCCGGCGTCGTTATTACTCAGCAACGAGAAGGAGCAAACTGCTGACATGCCACCAGCACGGATGGACCGCAGGGGCGCGGTGCTGAGTGAGGAGCCCGACTTGGACGGCCACGTGCGGCGTGACTTTGTTCCGTGACATCCCAGAAAGACGAAACTTTACAAACAGACAGCAGATCAGTCATTGCCAGGGGTTGGGGGATGGGGGCGCAGACGCAGGAGGGTGAGGGGTCAGGGGGCTGAGGACAGAGCTGTTCTGGGTCTTGATTGCGGTGCTGGATCTGTTTGTCAGAACTCACAGAACCACACAGCAAAAAGGGTGAGTTTTACTGTAAGTATATTATATTTAAAAAAAAATTACGAGTCTTGGAGTAAGATGAGGAGTTCCTCCTTAACGGGTACAGAGTTTCTGTTTGGATTGATGAGAATTTTTGGAAATAAATAGTGACGATGGGTGCACAATGTTGTGAATGTAATTAACGCCACTGAATGGTACATTTAGAAATGGTTAAAATGGCATTTTACCACAATTTTTTTTAAGTGAGAAACAAAGAGTCCAGGGGTAGATTTCAGGCATGGCTGGATCCAAGATTCTCTCCCTCTCTGAGGCCCTCTTTTCTCTCTCTCTGGCTTCATTCCCAGCAGGCTCCCCCCAAGCGGTGACAAAGGCCATCCGGAAAGGTCCAGGGCTGCCTCGCCCAGCCTCCCAACATGAGCAGGAAGGAAGCGCTTCACGGCCAACAGTTCCTGGAAGTCCCAGGTCGAGTCTCGGTGGTTGGCGTTAGGACTTGAGTCGGCCCCTCAGACAATCACTGGGGCCAGGGGGTTGGGATGCTCTGACTGGCCAGGCCTGGGTCACACGCCCACCCCCAGAGCTGAGGGAGCCCCCCAACCCAAGGCCCTGGGAGGAAGATCAGGGAGGGGCGGATCGCACAGAAACCCAGGAGCTCTGCCTGCAGCCCTGGGCCGTGTTCAGTGTCGGGGGTCACCTGAGCGCTCTGTCCTCCATTCTCCCGGCAGAGCCCACGGAGACACAGCAGACACTCACCGTGCCGTCCCCGGGTTTGCATAAGAGCCCACGTCCACGAAGTAGCAACTGCAATGTTTTTCAATCACACAGCGAAGATATTTAAAAATATCACCCATATGTGTTTTAAATACAGGCAAATAGCTGGCACGGCAGCCGGCTTCACACCCGCGTGCCATTCTGAGTTCTGTCTTCTCGCTTCCAACTCTCAGAATCGCACGTTGAAGGCCAGACGAGCCCAGAACGCGGCTCGGGCTGTGCGCCTCGGGCTCGCTTCCCCGGGAGGAACAGCCGGGCTCCCGGGCCCTGGCGGGATCACTGGCCCTCGCCGAGAACACAGAAATGGAACCAGGACATTTTTAGGGACGTTTGAGGAAGTTCTCCAGCCTCCTTCGTGAAAGCATCTTTACTGGTCCGGCGCGGGCCGGCTCCCTCACTGCCCCGCCTGCCCAGAGTGTCCCCTGTGTGGTCTTAAAGTCCTTGAAATCCGACCTTGCTTAGATGAGGTTTTATAACTTGAGGCTTCCCACATCTTCCCACCTTTTCTCTCAGATTTATACTTTTATACATCCCAAATAATACCCTTTGGCTATAAGTAACAGATAATTCCAACTCAAACTGGTTACAATTATAATAGATCATCTTTTTTTAAAAAAAGCTTCAGTGCATGGTTGTGCATCCTAGTTGTTAGTTTAGTTCTCTGTGTGAGCTACCACCACAGTGTGACAACTAACAGACGGGTGGTGTGAACCCAGCCTGGGGTGAGAGCCCTGGACCTTAACCATAGTCCACCAGGGCTGGGTCAGTATGATAGATGATCTTATACAAGAAGTGCAGAGGTCGGTGACTCTGAGTTTGGTGTGATCAGTGGCTAGGTAACATCAACACTCTACCCTGCCATCATCTGTGTGGCCTTTACCCTCAGCCTGCTTCTCTTCATGGCCCCAAAATGGCTGCCCCTGCACCAGGTATCACATCTAGGCACAGAAACATCCACAGAAGACTTCAGCAGGTCTCCCCTCACATCTCATTGGCTAGAAGTTAGTCACATGTCCACTCCTAGGCCAATCACCAGCAGGGGCAATGGGAGGAGAAGAAGCCAGAACAATAGGTAGAAAAAGGAGGAGAAGGAGGAAGGAAAGGGGCAGGGTCACGGGGGAGGAGATTTCTGAGAAATCTTGGGGAACTCTCATCTATCCTGGGATTGATGTGCATTTGGCTCTTGCTCTCTAAAGCTTCCTCCTGCTCCAGCCCCTCCCGGCTCCCTCTGCCCCAAGCTGCAAGCGTCTTGGGACATTTCAGTCCTTCTGTCTTTTGAAGCACCAACGGGCGAAGAAGCTGACATTCAAGGCTTTCACAAGGAGGAGAAACCAGGAGGGTGGGGGCGGCCGAGGCGAAGGACATGGGGTTCTGGCCTGTTGCTCTCAGTGATGGCCCTTGAGTGAGCACTGAACGGGGCCTCGTGACAGCTCCCGTGTCTGCAGGACCCATACCCTGAACAGTTGGGGTCTTCGTGCCGCCACTCCTGAGCCCAGCAGGGAGCAGCACCCCCGTTTTACGGAAAAACGAGCCCTGGAAGGTGCTGGGTGACTTGTCAAGGCCGAAGGCATCGCGACTCTGGCTGGCTGGGGCATAAGAGCGGCTGGGACCCTGGCACCCAGGACCGGTGGTGGAGGCCACCAGGAAGGCTAGCGAGAGGCCAGGGAACCCCACTTACGGGCTGAAGTGGGTCCCCCTGGCAGGCGGATGGCCGGGGGGCCTCCGTGGAGCCTCGGTCTGACTTCGGGGTGCTCACAGTCTGAGGTCAGAGGGTCACAGCAGGCTGAGAGCAGAGAGCCCCGTGGCGTCGGGGTGGGTGACCGTGGGGGCCAAGGTTGCTGAAACCCCGTGAGCGGCTCAGGCACGGGTGCAGGTCCGCTGGCTGCGGTGACACACGGGCCCGCGCACCGCGGCTGGGCCGGAGACGTGTGCGGAGCAGCACGGCCCTCGGCAGGTGCTCCCGGGCGGCGCAGGCTGTCCTCACGCGCGCTCCAGGAGCCGGGCTCCTCCCTGCTCCGCCGGCGGGCAGCTCCTCCTGGGCCGGACCCCAGCGCGTCCTTTCCAGGCAAAGGCCCCGCGGGAAGACACAGCACCTCCTGAGACGCAGGCTCAGAACCGGCGCCCAACCTCCCGCCTCGTTCCTCTGGCCAAAGCGGGTCACGTGGCTGTAGGCCCCGCCCACGGTGGGACGGTCCTGCAAAGTCACGTGGCATTGGGCGTGGCTACAGGGAAGGGTGAAGAATTGGGGCCAAGGACGCCGTCGGCCACAGGTAGATATAATTCTTCCCGCTTTCTAGAGGAGGATGCTGACGTCCAGAGAGGTTAAGCACTGGGATCTAGGCCACACAGCCAGGCAGCCGCAGCTTCCGGATTCAAACCCAGTAGCTGTTGACCGACCGAGGCAAGGGTCCTGCCCAGAGCCGGTAGCACCGAAACTCCGCTCCTCTGTGGCTGGGGTCCTCGGCCGCCGTTCCGTGACTGACTTTCAAATACCACGCGGAGGCACAATGTCCTGTGCCTAATGTCTCTTTCGCGTTCGCCTCTCGCCTGGGCCACCATCTGTCCCTCGGCTCTGCGGCGACGCTCGGGCGGCGGGGCGCGGCCTCGCCAGCCGGGTCCCTCCGACTCCAGGCCCTTAGCAGCCTCCAGCGCCTGCGGGGTTCGGACACAGGCGCCCGTGATTAGCAGACGCTCTTTAATTAGCTTTATTTCCACCACATTTGTTGCCTCCCTGAGATTATCTTAATGCCGTCGCCCTCCCGGGTGCACACGATGCGTATGCGGCCGTTTGCCCCCTGGGGATGGGGAGGAAGAGTAGGAGGGGCGGGACTTGGCGTCTGGGACCAGCCTTCGGCCCCTGGGGAAGTTTCCGGACTCAGGAGAGGCCTGGAGGTGGGGGAGATAGGGCAGCAAAGTAGCAGGAGGGAATGGGGGAGACGAGAGGGTCCCCGAACTTTAATCCTCTCCCAGGCTCCGTGACTCTGGGCAGGTTATGTTATCTCTGTGCCTCAGTGTCCTCATCTGTAAGATGGGAATAATATTAGTGCCTGCTTCAGGGGGTCGTTGTGACGTTAAATGAGTTAATTCCTCGTGCTTAGAGCCCTTCCTGGCACATACGATTAAATTATAGTGAAATAGATGACTATTGTACCAGACTCCTGAGGGTCATGATTGCCCCCGCCCAGTATCCCTGGTCGCCCCCAGCATCAGCGCTGATAATTGCATTCATGGGGCGCCTACTGATGCCAGGCTGTCGGCGTGCATTGTCTCAGCTAATTCTCACCACAGCACTCAGAGCTCCCCGCTCTACAGATGGGGAAACTGAGGCTCGGAGAGGTGGAGTGACTTGCCCAAGGTCATGTCTAAAAAGTGGCAGAGCCAGGATTTGAGTCAGAATGTGAACCGGGGTCCCTCAGACTCCAGCCCGGCTCCTGTCGCCCCTAAACCCTTCCTGTGTTTGTCTGAGAGATGGAGCTGGAGAGTAAGTGAATTCGCTCCACACTGTCGTCCGCTTCTCCCCGCAGCCCCGCTGGGGCTGGACCCCTCTGTGCAGTGGATGAGACCAGACGGGTTCAGGGGGGATGACCTGCCCGAGGACACACCCGGGGAGGGGAGAGCCAGCAGGTATCTCTCTGTTTGAACGGGGTCTGACTTCAGACTCGCTCTAGGCCATGTGACCCTGAGAGCCACAGCAATTGATTTTGTGTCCACGAGGTCATTTGCTGCTCCCGAACACCTGTTGGAGACTTGTACCCCCCTTTTCCGGCTGAGCACACCGAGGCTTGGGAGAGAAGCCAGCAAGCGGCAGCACAGAGATTGAAGCCCCTGCCTCTGGACCCACTGTGCCTTTCCTGCCTTTGGCCAAGGAAATTGCTGGCCAGGGAAGGGGACAGGAGGAGAGAGGGGGTCTCTAGTGTCGCCAGGTCTAGCTTTGGGCTCGCTCCCTTCCCTCCAGCCAGCCTGGGGGCTGCCCCGGGCCTCCCTCTGGCGCAGGCCAGCGGGTGTGGAGGTGGGGCTGGCGTATACATCAGACGTCCACCAGGTGGGGCTTTCGCCAAAGGCCGGGCTCCTGCGGGTCCCCGGCGAGGCCTCGCTGCCCCTCCCTGGGAAGGTACGCTGGGCACGCCCCGTTTGCATCTGCACGGGGTGCTTACTTGTGTGCACACATGAGCTGTGCAGACCTGGGTGTGAGCACACAGGTGTGTCCCAGAGAATCTGCTTCTGGCTTGTGTGCCAATGTGCATGAGTGGATGTGTGCACTGGCATGCAGGCGTGTGTGCATGTGTGTATGTGGGTGTGGAAATGAGTACACATGTGAGTGTGCGCAGAGGAGTGTAGGCAAACATCAGTGCTTGCAGGTGTGTATATGCGTGTGCATGTGTGTGCAAATATGTATGTGGGTGTGCAAGAGGGGGCGTGGCCCGTGGCTGGCAGGTTGGGCCCTGGCGTTTGGGCCTGAGGCTCATCTTAGAGTCTCTTTCCCATGCTGTGTGGAGTCAGGGTCCTGGTGGACCCTGAGGATTTGGAGCAAGAGGAGAGGAGCAGGGAGGCCAGAACTGTTTTTGGGGTCGGGAGCGTTTGACTGGGGGGACTTGGACCCCCAGATGCTGAGTCCTTCGGTCCACAGAGGTTTCTGGGGTTAGAGAGATGGGGAGTCAACCTTCGAAGGACAGCTTCTAGAACCTTTGTCCTGGACCCTCAGGGCTCTGGAGAGTGTGGCTGGAGATTGTGGGTGCGAGGGGGCATGGGCTCCCGGTTCCGGCTGCTCCCCAGCCTTCTACCCTGCCGCTGGGCAGGGAATTTCGAACCCCGTGGAGGAGTAAGAGGCCTTACGGGTTAAGAACTTGCGCCCTGGCATCAAAGAACAGGATTTGACCCCCAGCTCTGTTGCTTCCTGGCTGCGTGACCTTGGGCAAGTCACTTGCCCTCTCTGAGCCCCCATTTCCTCCGCTATTAAAGGGAGGAAATGGCAATACTGCCTCCAAGTGCTGTCACAAGGAGGAAATTAGATAATGGGCAGAGCGAGCCCAGCCTGTGGAAAGCAGACCATAAATGGCAGCATTATCATCCTTTTCCTGTCCTGTGGGGACAAGTGGAGCATCTTTTGGTTCGTGGAAGCCAAGAGCTGAGAAATCAGAAGCTCCGAGGAGGCTGAGAGAGTGGTAACTCAGGGACTGGCCGCCGGGGCTGCAGACACACCCCCTTGGCTCTGATTTGTCTGAATGGCATCTTCTAGAAGCTTCTACATTCCCTTCCCCCTGCCCTGAGCACGGGCAGTGGGAAAAGCTAAAGCTGGGGTCAAGGCTTTTCCAGCAAGGCCACCAAAGGACGCAGGTGCCACACCCAGTTCCCGAGCCTGCCCAGCTGCTGTCCTGTCGAGGGCGCTTGGCGAGCCGTTCCATCTCTGAGCCTCAGTTTGCTCTGCTGTGAAATGGACGCAGCCACGGTAGAGGTGAGATGTGAGGAGAACGTTGGTGAGGTCCCCCGGGCGCAGGAGACACCCTTACGACAATGACAGTGACAGTGTGTTGATAGGACAAGGACAAAAAGAGAAGCTAAAGCATTCACATCGCCCCATCTTACCAAAGGAGGAAAAGAATTCTTTCGTTCTTTTTTTGTTTGGCTACCGGGCTGTGTGTTGCTGACGAGATGAAATGTGAGAAGCTCAGATTTGCAGAAGAAGGAGAAATGAGAGAGGGTGGAAACGGAGGGAGAGGGGGAAGGGTCGGAGAGGACAGACCCAGAGCCAGCAGCAAGCGAGAGGAGATGAGGAGCATTTCCGGGGGAGAGACGTTAAAATAGAGACTGGAGCGGCAGCTTTGGGGAAAGAAGAGGATCTTAAGGCGTGAAGCGCTCCGTGCCCTGCCCCTTAAGAAAACCTGCAGTGACTGGCTACACTCTTCATCCAGCCTCTAGGGGTCCAGTTCCTGGAGCTTTCTTTGGGTGGGTGGGCAGATGGGGGTGTTTGTGGGGGCTGCTCAGTTCTTCTCAGGGCACCTGAAGGTGAATGGCTAGCCTTGGGAGCTCAGAGTCGTGGGAGCCCGTGGAGGAATGGGCGCCCGAGTGGGCATGAAGCCAAGTGGGCCACTCGGCCCAGAAGTGTGGGACCAGAAGGGATGGAGAGTCCAGCGGTGTCCTCCACTCCGTGGTGGTGGTTTCGGAGGACTTCGGTCACTGTCTGGTTTGCACACTCAGCTGCTAAATTAGGGATGCAGAATTGGAAGGTGGGTTCCTGCCCTGGGGCCAGCTTTTCAGGGGCTCAGCGAAACCGTGCGCCTGAAGAAGAGCCTGTGCCAGTGGGAGCAGAGTCCTAGAAACTCGAATTAGCTAATGTTTCCAAATATCCTGGAAGCTGCCAAGTGCCAAGTGGCGTTTCGTTCCAGGGACGCACAAAGAAAATTCAGTCCTGGTTCTGGCTGTAGCTCCAGCTCTGAAAGGGACCCTGGGCTATTACACGGCCAGGGCTATGAGGATGCTTTTGAAAAAAAAAAAAAAAAAACAGACATGGCGTAGTAAAGCAGGCTTAATAAGGATATGTATTTTTAGTTCAAATGCTCTGTGCTGTTGGAAAAAAGGAGACAAGTTGAGTCTCTTTCTTTAAATGCACAGTGTGCAGGCACCTCTCTTGGAGTCAGTCTTTGTGTATGGCGTGAGGTAGGGATCTGGTCCTATTTTTTTCCCGTATGGCTCGCCAGCTGGCCCAGCAACAGACTGAAAGTGAAGTCTGTCCTTTCCCCACTCGTTTATAAAGCCATCTCCACCACCTGTTTGCATGAGTCCATTTTATATTTGTGTGAATCTGTTTCTGTTGCTCTGATTTTGTCCCCTGGGTCTGTTTGTCTGTCCTTCTGCCTCCCTATCTTTATTATTATAGCCCTGTAGTAAGTCTTGATATATACCAGGAGACGTTCCCCCACCTTATTCTTCACACCTGCCCCAGCTATTCCTGGCCCTTGCAACTCCATGAGAATTTTAAGATGGACTTGAAGTTCTATGAAAAGCCTGATTGAGAGTTTGATTGGAATGGTCTTAAATTTATGGGTTAATTTGGAGAGAAATGACATCTTCACCATATGACCTCTTCCAGCCCATGAACTTGAAATATCTCTATGAGTCAGATCTTCTTTCATAGACATCTCGAATGGGTGTGGGTCTCTGTGCTAGGTGTGTCAGTCAGGGGCCCAGGAAAAAACAGATTCCCCCACCCCAACCGAAGGAAGATGCCTGGTGATAAAAGTAATTTGTGCTCATAAAATAAATCAAGATGATGGAGAAATTATCAGAGGCCTCTGAACCCATTTGTCCAGAACTAATGTCTGTTGACCATTTGATAGTTTTCCTTAACTTTTTCCTAACTACCACATTTTAAGCAAAGATGGAATTATTTATTAATACTGTTCTACAACCTGCTTAAGTTCACTTTACCACATATCTTAGACATCTCTTCACCTCACCACATATGAATAGCCCTCATTTTTCTTAATACTTGAATAATATTCTGTGGGGGGTGTATTGGTCCCAGCAGGTACACTCAGCTGGGATTTTTTTTTTTTTTTTGAGGAAGATTAGCCCTGAGCTAACTGCTGCCAATCCTCCTCTTTTTGCTGAGGAAGACTGGCCCTGAGCTAACATCCGTGCCCATCTTCCTCTACTTTCTATGTGGGACCCCTACCACAGCATGGCTTGATGAGCAGTGCCATGTCTGCACCTGGATCTGAACGAGTGAACCCCAGGCCGCTGAAGCGGAACATGCACACTTAACCACTGCACCACCGAGCCGGCCCCTCAGCTGGGATTTTTCAAGTGAGACTATGTACAGAGGTGTGGCAGGGGAATGTTTAGGCACCCAGATGTTAGCAAGAGGAGGAAGCCATTTCCACCCCAGATTGAAGAGAAGTAGGAAGGAGCAGTTCCTGGGGCCCAGGAAGAGTAGGAGGACAGCTGGACAGGGACTGTGGCTGTAGAAGGACCCAGCCACCACCGCCAGAATTGCAGTGAAGCAGGGAGAGAGGCAAGGAATATTTAAATACCCCAAACTTTCTCTCCTCCCACCTTCTTATCTCCTTCCAGGGCCTCCCATTGGCCAAACCCAACTGGAAGCCAGAGAGCAAGGGATCCTGGGAGATGTAGTCCACAGAGGTCCTCAGCTTCCTGGGCCACGGAGCAGGGGGAGAGCGAATGGGGTTGGGGAGCAAAGGAGAATCATCAGCACAGTACGAATATGCTGTCAGTGTATAATTAGTCTCTGACACTGGAGGAGAATCAGGCCAAGGGAGCCTGGCCCTCACCTGTTGTGCCTCTCCAGCTGGACGGGTCACTGAGAGCTGGCACGTGCTCAAGGTGCTGCCCTTGCCTTCTGGACACCTGCTTGTCCTCCAGTTCTTCCTCTCCGGGAGAGGCAGGGCAGGCTCAAGTGGGAAGCCCCCTGGACTTGATGCGAGTGAACCCAGCTGGGTCCGTCCTGGTTCTGCCCCTTCACAGCCGCTTCCTCTCGCAGGTCGCCAGTCTTTCCATCTGCAGGCCAGGATCGCAGATCCCTGTCCAGTCCACTGTGAGGCCAACGATAATGACAGCTCCTGGACACAGCACGTTTGCATAGTGCTTGACGCAGCTTCACTCCTGTCATCCTCACCGCTTTGTGCAATTAACGGCACCATCGGACCCATGAAGAAAATGAGGCACAGAGAGGTAAAATAACTTGCTCAGGGTCACAGAGCTTGTGAGTGGCAGAGGTGGAATTCGCCTCTAGACGGTTGGGCTGCAGAGTCTCGCTCCTAAGCACTATATTTATGCTAATGACTTATTTATACAGCGTCCCACAGCCAGTCAGAGCTTAATAACAGCAGTGGTTGACAGCATTGTGCCAGGTGTTTTGCACATACGGAACTGCTGGCTTGCTCCTTGTAGCCGGTCACTCCAGCTCCTGGACCTGGGACCTAACCACGGGCCAGCCGCCCTCCCGGAGCACACCCTGCCGGTGTCAGCCAGACCCGCCCTCTGCCTCACTCCTCTCCCGGGTATCTCTCATACTTCCTGCTGAATTTGGAGTCTCCAGGCGTCTTTCTTCCTGCCTGGCAGCTGCGGTGGGCAACGCAGAGCTACGGAAAGACATTTTCTTTTGTTTCAGCTTTGATGCTGGGGATTTCGCATATCATTATGTTTGTGGCTAAGGACCTGCCATTATCTTCCTGGGATTCTTGCACAGTTTATGAATTTTCTCAAGGATCCAGCTCTCTGTCCACTTCTGCTTTCAGAATAGGCTGCCCCAAGCTGCTCTTGGCTTTCTCGGGGTGGGGGGTCGGGGGGAGGCTGTCTTCTTTTCCATCGTAATTTTAAAATGCCCATCTTGTTGCGTAGGTCTTTGAGAATCAGAATCAACCAGGCACCTGCTTAAGTTGCTGTGGATCTGAGTATGTGTGTGTGTGTTTGTGGCAGGGAGAGTGTGCTAAGAACGTGGAAAACAGTTTTTCACAAAAACATTTAATATTTGAGGACTTTAGCTCCTCAATCCAAGGCTGACTAGTTGCTGAAAAAGTCAGTTTCCTGGTTTGCCATCTTTCATTAAGGACCACCCATAATAATATCATTTCCCCAGCGAACTCTGTTTAGGGGGTAAACACTTAACTGCTTAATTCATTATTGCTGAGACTGAGATGGTAACAGATGCCTTTGGAATATGAGCCCCCACATCTAATAAGGCACAGGCTCACGATACGCTTGGAATATGGCGAGGAGAGACGGCTGAAATTTATTTTGTGAATAAAGCAATAAGCCACTAAGCAAAGCTAATATGTTTCAGCCCAGACAGAAAGACACGAGCATTCAGTATTTATGTAGCAACACGTTCCTCAGTGGGACTGCAAGCTTCTACCATTAAAATTGTCGGAATTCTTCAGAGACCCACTGCATTAAGTCATTTAAAAATATCACAGACTTAAAACAATCTGAATTATTGGATTTTCTCGCTGTTCCCCGGTAAGCAGGTTTGCTGTGTCAACTTCCCGCTCGGTCAAAGGTGCAGCCTGTGTCAGTCAGGAAAGTAGAAAAGTTCCTTGCGGAATTTTTATTTGAAAACCCGAGAATCCCTAACCGCTGAGACAAAGTCAGACATATGTTAATTTTTCTTCTTTTGACATAATTTCAGATTTCCAGAAAGGTTGCAAGGAAAGTCCAAAGAATTTCTGTGTATACTTCATCTAGAGCCCTCAAATGCTAACATTTTGCAATATTTGCCATATCATTCATCATATGTAGAGACAGATAGATACAGATAAATATGCAGATGTACATTATTTTTGTCTGAATTGTTGGAGTCGGTTGCAGACATGATGTCTGTCTCTTTACCCCTAAACACTTCAATATGTTCTCTAAAAACAAGGAGTATTTTGTTATATAGCCACAGCACAATGATTAAAACCAGGAAATTAGCGTTGATACAATACCATTATCTAATCTATTGACTTTATTCTGAGTTTGCCATTGGCTCCAGTTAATGCACTTTGCAGTAACAGAAAATCCCAGATCATATGATTTAATTGCTTGTCAAGTCTGTCTTGCTTCCTTTAATCTGGAATGGTTCCTCAGTCATCCTGTGTGTTTATGTGACACTGACATTTTTAAAGAGAACAGGCTATTTTGTAGGATTTCCCCTCCGTTTGAGTTTGTCTGATATTTCTTCACAATTAGGTCCAGGTTATGAACTTTTGGTGGGAATACTACCAAAGTGATGTTGTGGCCTTCTCGGGACAGCATATCAGGAGGTACACCATGTCAGTTTGTTCCATGACTGCAAAGTCAGACATAAATTTAAAATAATCTTTCATCAAAACCTTGGTTTGTTAAAAAATTGCTTTGAAGGGTTTCACACTCACTCCAGATTTCCATTACAGGTCTTTCAAAAACAGACTCCGAGATAAGGAAGCGGCAAGCTTTGGAGATGCTCAAGAGAAAATGCAGCCATTAAAAAAATTGCCATGCGATAGTTATGAAATTTCCCTAAATTCATTTTGTGGAGTGAGAGACATAATTTAAACGTGAAGTTATCGAGAGCTGAGATGAACCACACGTCACGTGCCATTTAATCTGGCAAGGAAACAGGCCACTTGGAATTGCTAACTAGGCCTAATTCATTACGTCTTGGTGAACGCTGTACTTTTGCTCTTTGAGTCTTTCAACTTGTGCGTTTAATGTGTTTACCCAGGCCTCATGGAAAATGGATGGGGATAGTAACAGAAATACTGTATCCTTGTTTAAATCACGTTACATTTTTCAAACAGCTCGGTGATTGTTCAGAAAGATCATACCTTCTTCCGAAGCATTTATGAAACAATTATTTACATTACATTAAAAACTTTAATTGCCTTGAAGCACGTGCTCTGAGACACAAATATTGGAAAATCATCAAAAATATCTGTCACGATTCTCTCTCCTTTACAACTCTTCTAAACTTTATGTTTTTTATAACCCTCTGTATTGATCTATTGTCCCAGACCAAGAGTGATGTCAGAAGTCCAAGCTGGGTCATAAAAAGAGAATATAATTTTCATTTGCTGTCTATAAAAGCAAATCTTTTGACCAGAGAAAAAGGGGAAAAAATGCCCTTTTTGGGGGGTGGGAAGGAGGGTGGGGTGGGATTTGGCAGGGGGCTGCGCCAGAGAGGCAGCACGACACGGGGTCAGCAGTGGGGGGTGGGTTGGCGATGGGAATTGGGGTCTGAGTTCCTCCCCGGGGGGGGGGGGGGGCGGCGGCGGGTAGGATGCTGGGAGGGGACTGGGCGCCTCTGGCTTGCACAGAGGCAAAAAGAGAGGGAAAAGTACAAAGGAAGAAACCTAGTCACCCCTATTGTGGAGGGTCTGAGAAATTGCAAAAGACCGGAACCCCCCTCCAGCTGGGCTCAAGACACTCTCCCCAAAGACAATCATGATAAAGAGGCCCCGCGCTGCAAAGGACCTGGGGTCCCCAGCTAGACTAAGGATTCCCAAATAATAATGTCTCAATAGCGGAAACCTGCGTAGTTGTTAAGGATCCAGAGCCCCCACAGCAGGGCTGGGGCCCCCTCAACAGATCATAACAGTAAAACCCAACCCACTGGGGGTAAAGCCCTCCAGAGGTTTGCCTAAGAAACCCCTCCACTAATCACCATAACAGTAAAAGGCCTCCCATTGTAAAGTTGTGAGGAGCCCTTAGAACTGGGCCAAAGACCCCCAAATAATAATAACAGGAAACCTATTGCAAAGATCTGAACCCCCCCAAGCCGTCCCCGCCCCGCAAAGCACCCTGAGCTCCGGCTAAGGCGCCGCCCCCCAATAATCATAACAATATAATAGCGTGGAATCTGCGCGCGGCAGTGGTGACATTTCCCACGCCTCAGTGGCGCCCCGGGGCGGCTCCCACCCGCCCGCTGGCCGGCTCCCACAGGCCGCCGGCCCCGAGTCTACGCAGCCCTACGTGCGGGCTGCTACTCTCGGCTCCGAGGCTTTGCTGGCGGAGGAGCGGCTGCAGCCCGAGGCACGTGTTGTGTGTGCTCCGATTGCAAAAGAAAAAAAAAATGCATTGCAAACTATTAACTTTTTTTTAAGTATGCAATGCTGGGGGTGAGGGGTAGACAGGTGCGGGGGCGGGGGAGCGGCTATAGGCGCCCCGCGCGCCGGCCTCCCGCAGTCCCCCCTCCCAAACTTCCCTTTGCATCGATCGGCACGTTACGTCAGTATTGATAAGTTTGCAAAAAGCCAAAGTCAAGTGCAATCGCGCGGCACACCGACCCCGGACTTGGGGGGGAGATGCAGCGAGCGCTCCGCGGGCCCGGGAGCCGGCTGCAGGCAGGGCAGCGGCGGCGCCGGCGCCTCTCGGAGAGGCTGCCTCCCCCCCACCCCTCCCCTCCCACCCCATCCCCGGCCGCCTCCCCCGGGCGGGCGCCGAGCTCCCCGCCCGGCGCGCTCCGCCCGCGCCCTCCGGGGGTCGGGGGGGCGCACGGCTCCCGGGCCCGGCGGCGGCGGTGGCGGCGGCGGCGGCGCGGCGGCGCCGAGGGGCAGCGGGTGGCAGGAGGCCGGGGGGCGCCCGAGGGGCCCCGGGCGGCGGCGCGCAGGGCCGGGGCGGCCGGCGGCGGCCCCGGGGCTGGGGGGAGTCCAGCCCGGATATTGAGTGCAGCCATTGAGAAAAGCCAAACTCTTGTGTGTGTGCGTCTGGAATAGCCCCCAAGATGGCCGCCAATGTGGGATCGATGTTTCAATATTGGAAGCGATTTGATCTACGGCGACTCCAGGTTAGTGCGGGCAGCGCCGGCCGCGCGGCCGTGGGGAGCCCTCGGGCGCGCCCTGGGCGCATTGGGGAGGTCCCCGGGAGGGCGGGCGGGCGCCCCGGGGCGGCGGGCGGCGGCTGCTGGGGCTCGCCGGGGCTCGGCTGCCCGCTGCCCATCGATAGGTATTAGGAATTGATCTCGCCGCTGCTCTTTGTTCGGTTCAATCATCGATTAGCCGCCGCGACCATGGAGAAGCGCTAGTGAGCCCTCGGCCCGGGGAGCGAGCCGGCGGGTGAGCGCCCGAGCGAGGCGCGAGGAGGGCAGGGGCTGCGGTCCCGGGCAGGGGGCTGCCGGCGGGACCCCCGGCAGCCCCCCTCGCGCCGCACTTTGCGCGCCTCCCAACTTCGCGGCGCCCAAGGAGGCCGCGGAGCGCGCCGCGTGCCTGTCCGCGCCCGGCTGGGGCTCGGGCGAGGGAGGGAGGGAGCTGGCGGGCAGGGAGGAGGAGGAGGAGGAGGAGAGAGGAGGAGGCATCCGGGGTTGGCGAGGAGGCGGCTCCGCGCCCCGCCGCCCGCCGGCACCTTCGCCGCCGCCGCCCGCCTGGCTGCGCAGCCCGGACGCGCCGCCACCCGGGGGCCGCTGCTGCCGCCCCAGCCGCCGCAGCCTCTGTCGCCGGACCGGCCGCCTGCGCCGGCAGACGTCTCCTCGGGCCGGGTTCTCGGGGTTCGTCTTTGCTTCTTGCCTTTTCCCTCCTTCCACCCTCTTTCCAAGTCTAGATGGGGACGGGCGTGGGTTTGGGCCCGGGGCGTGCGCAAGTTTGCGCTCCTGCCTGGGGGCCGTGGAGAGCCGGGAGCGGCGCAGAGCAGGTGACTCCCGGCTCCCGGGCCCATGGGAACTTTTAAGTGGGAGATCCCCTCGCTGTCTTCTGCCTCCTGCTCTTCCTCCCCGCCGCTCCCCTCTTCTCTCTCCAGTCTCTCCTTTTCTTCTCGCCTTCTCTCTCCTCTTTCCCTCTCCTTCCCTAGGGCCACTGCCTCCCAAACCCCGGCACTGTATCCCCACTCTACCTTTCTCGGGGAGTCTCTGTCTCCCCCAGATTTGGGGGTGTTTTCTGCTGACCCCCTAGAAGGCGGGGCTAGGAGGTGGAATCCTAGAGACCGTGCGCTGGAGGCGCAGCTCTAGCCCCTGTTCTTTCCCGGGTGCCCCAGGACGCTCCTGACAAGCCCCCCAAACCCTGGAGTCTTGCAAACTCTCGGCGGGCTAGGGGGGCGGGGAGCCGGGCGGTGCTGATAACCGCGCGGTCAGAGCGTCTTGGCCTTGACATTCTCGGAAGAAGCGAGAGCGTCAGTCTGGAGATAAAAAGGGACCCACTTTAAAAAAAAATCCGCCTGCAGATCTCCTTAAGTTTCTGCCGATAAGTGGTTCCAGTACCCCCTCCTCCTGGCCGCTTCCCAGCCCCCCGCCTTCCTAATCCCCCCCCCCCCACTCCCCGCTGTCCCCTCCCCCAAAGCCGCTGGGCTGGAGAGAAAATCGGGGCACTCAGGCATGCAGTTAATAACTGCCAGTGCCTTGCAATTCCAGGTCCTCACTCGAGTTGGGGCTACAGTTTGGTGGCCAGCTGAGGCGGGCAGGGCCGTGAGCTGTGCTTGCCGGTTTAAATGATGCTCAAGTGGCCTTTCTGGAGGAGTCGGGGGGTGTGAGGGAGAGAGAGAGAGAGAGAGGGAGAGTTGGGCAGCCACATTGGGCTTGGCACGAAGGCCAGTGGTAATCGTATTCCCTGCTAATGTTTGTAAATGAGACCCGGGCACGGCTGGGGGACAGCGTCTTTATTTATGATTGATGTTCTGTAACATAAGGAATGACAAGAACGTGGCAGACGAGAGGAGAGGAACCAGAAGGGCTCGCGAAAGCCCTTTGCAGGGTCCTATTGTTATTCCAGGCTGGAGAGAATTTCCGCGGCGAGGTTTACAGCGCTGGTATTTGCTCCGGGTTGGCCGGAATGTCAGTTAACACAATTTTCATTAGATAACTCGTTTTCAATCCGGGGAGCCCGGGCTGGGGCTGGGTGCGGAGCGTGGGTGCGGCTCCCAGGGTGGGGAGGGCTGGGGCCGGGTGCAGAGGGTGGGGGTGGCTCCCAGGGGACTGATTCTGACCTGGGGGGGCCTGGGGGTTGAACCTCGCTCTCTTCCTTCTCCAGCTGGGGGGGCTTTGGTGGAGCTGTTGAGGTCACCCAAATCTTGAATCCAGTTGGACTTCCGTTGATCTGGGAACCCTTTGTTAGGGGTTTAGAGGATGCAGAGATGGGAAAGCAGATTGGAACTGGAAAGGATGAAGGGGGGGTGGTGGAGTCTTGTTCAGGTGAAGGGAAAGGGACCAAGACCTCTCCCCCCACAGGGTGTATGGGGGGGTGTTCATTAAGACAATGGCTGGTGAGTCTGGCACAAACACAAAGGCACTGGGGCGGGGGGAGGGTCATTTACATGGATACTAAGGGGGGGGGGTGTCCCTGTGGGAGCTGGAAGGGCTGGGCACTTCCAGAGAGCAGAGAAATAAACGAGGCAGCGGTGGTGGTGTGCAGACACTGAGGCCTCACATCTCTCTGCCATGCTCCCCACCCTCCTCCCGAAGTGTTCGCTTGCTCTCCGCCCAGCATGCCAGTGTCCTCCTCCCGTGGTCTCCCTGATGGCATTTTTGTTGGAAACGGATTATGAGCCCAAGCACTTCCACTGGATCATCTCTTGTGCATAAAGCTAATGACTCCTACGCCACACTTTTATTTTCATTTTTTTTCCCTTTCCACTTTCCTCTTATAGGGGCAATAACCAGAAAGGAAAACTTCCGCTGGCTGGTTCTGAGACCTGGGTAGGAGAGGTGGGGCCCCCGCCCCAGGCCCTGTGCAGGCGGATCGCTTGGGGCCCCCTCGTGCTGGGGCCCAGCTGCCCGTGAACGGGAGCCGGCGTGCCGCTTCAATTCTTGGTTGCTCAGCTTGAGTGGTTTTGAGCAGCCAGGTTGCTGAGCGTTCAAGTGACTGAGGCAGCAAAGGAGGCCCGTGTCCCCAGGCCAGACCGTGCTGCTGACGCCACTCTGATCCTGGCCAGAAAGGTGACCTTGTGCCAGCCCAGCCTCCAGCCCTCCGGAAGTATATATTTTTCTAATATGGAAGCAGCCGAGTTATGATCCCTTGCAGCACTGTTTCTGAACACAGCAGGACTGTTTTTCTGGGACTGAAGTCAGTCCACCGTCTTAATGACCTCTGGGTGCATGGTAGAGATGCTCTGACATGTGGTACCCTGGTCCAGGACCCTGGAAACCGCTTCCCCCTTTTCTTTTCTTTTTTTTCCCCTCTGCTGCTAGCAGTCCAGGAAACGAGAAGAAATAAAATTCCATCCCAAAGATAATGCTGGGCATATTTCATTTGGTTATAAGATTGCTTTATGGTGAGCATTACTAATGCAGTATTTTTTTATGGCTTTTCTGTGTATAGTCGTCGTAAACGGATTCATACCTTTATGATTTTCTTTTTCTGCTTTACTTTGCCACTTTTTTTATGATGCTGTGGATCCAGGCTCCCATATTATCTTTTTTTTTTTCCTTGAAGAGGGGTAATCAAGCTAACAAGAGTTGAGGGTGCTCAGTTGAACTGAGGGTGTCCAGTCCAAGCGCACATCCGTGTTTCTTGGGAGAAAGGAGGTTGGCTGGGGGGCCCACACAGTATGAGTTTTGGAGGAAGAGGCAAATTCTGCTTGGGGTATGAGCATTTAGGGAGGAAGATCGACGGGGCTAGGGAGAGAGGCCGGATTTTGCAAGGAGTTTGGAGAAACTTCTGGGGAGGCTCAGTTTCTTGGCGAACGGGAGATGGGGCTGGGTGGAATGTTTTCCCTGTTCGAAGTTTAGAAAAGAGCGTGGATGTGATTAAAATATTATAACCTTATGATATTCTGAAGTGCATAAATTTTACATATCAGCCACAGAGAGTTTAGACATCCATTAGAGCTTCTGACAGCTTGACTTATCTAAATGTGCCATCATTTAACAATGTGTCAAAATTCCTCTTTCTATAGATGACAGCAGTAAATAAGCTATCAGCCCTGTTGGCGGAATCCTAACTTTGCAAACTTCACTGTGATAGAATTGCTGGTGGGGCGGGGAGCGTGGACAGACCGGTCCAGGCCCAGCCCCTCGAGATGGGTTGGCATTAGGCTAGGACTGTGGAGGGTTGAGGGGCAGGACAAGGAGCGGTGGGGGCCCAGGGGGTGAGCGGAAATTTCTAGCATGAGCTCTGTGAATAAGACCAAACAATTGGCCAGCGCCCTGGACCCTTACGAGTCCAGCCAGTGGGTGACCTGCTTCCATCTGCCTCTCCATTTCCTCAGAACCCACACCCCGTGGGCATTTTTTGCAGAAGGAGCTAGAAACAGGTGTTGGGAATTTATTTAAAGAACCCAGCAGTCTTTTCTGGGCATCCCAAAATTCTGGTTTCTCAACTCGGCAGAAATTGCTTTGCAAAGATGGGCTTTTTCTTTGAGTGCTAGAAGAAAAACGAGCAACGCGTCGTCGCTGACCGCTTTTGCTGCCGGAGGTCTCGAAGCTTCTTTTATTAAAATCTGAATTCACAGTGGAAAATTGAGAAACCACGGACAAGCCTGAGAAGCAAATGCGTGGCTCGCTGGGCCCTTCAGGTGAGCACCGTGCTGTTTAGACGAGAGCGAACAGCTTTTCTGATGGTGGTGGTGATTTTTCTTTTTTTTTCTTCCCTTTTCTTTCTTTCTTCGTTGTCATCATCTTTTTTTTTTTTTTAACTCTCCTGTTAAAAAGAGGATTCTATCTTCGAACTTGACATTCTGTCGTCGTAACCTTTCTTCCAGCAGATGGAATTTCAAACGTGAGCACCTTGGCTGCTGCTAAATTTGGTCCTGGATGGTGGTGGACGTGGCTGGCTAGAAATCGTGGTTTTCTCTGCTGCTCTCAGAAAGGGCTGAATCTCCAGCGGTTTCCGGGTTCTCTGATTCAGAGGCTGGGCCGGGCAGAGG